GCATGGTACTCCAAGCTGGATGCATCACTGATCAAGCTGGGGTTCATCTAGAGCACGTCCGAGCATGCTGTTTATCTCCGTGGTGCTGGCGCAAGGCGTCTCATCATGGGGGTTTACGTGGATGATTTGGTGATCGCCGGTGACAGTTCACACGACATCAGTGCCTTCAAGGAGGAGATGAAGGCAACCTTCAAGATGAGTGATCTCGGTATGCTGCGCTATTACCTTGGTCTGGAGGTGACACAGATGGAGAATGGCATCACTGTCAGCCAGAGTGCCTATGCTGCAAAAATTCTTCAGAGCGCCGGCTTGACTGGATGCAACCCAAGCCATGCTCCTATGGAATCTCGTCTCAAGCTCAGTAAGTCAAGTACTGCTCCTGCTGTTGATGTCACACATTACAGGAGTATAGTTGGATCTCTTCGGTACCTAGTGAATTCAAGACCAGACCTGGCATTTGCTGTGGGATATGTCAGTCGCTTCATGGAGAACCCAACTACTGAGCATATGGTGGCAGTGAAAAGAGTGCTGAGGTATATTGCTGGGACTCTACATTTCGGCTGCTACTATCAGAGGAAGAAAGAGGCACAACTCATTGGCTACTGTGATGCTGACCTGGCTGGTGACATTGATACAAAAAAAGCACCACAGGAGTCCTCTACTTCCTCGGCTCTAGCATCATCACTTGGCAATCACAAAAGCAGAAGGTAGTAGCCCTATCCTCTTGTGAAGCAGAATATATAGCTGCTACTACTGCTGTCTGCCAAGGTGTTTGGTTGGCCCGTCTCCTTGCTAAACTCAGGGGAGAAAAGGTCAGGGCCATTACTCTAAAGATTGACAGCGAGTCTGCGATTCAGCCAAGTAAAAACCCAGTTTTTCATGACCGTAGCAAACATATAGATGTGAGATATCATTATATACGGGAATGTATCGAAGAGGACAGGGTGAAGCTGCAGTCCGTCAGGACAGCTGAAGAGCTTGCAGACATGTTGACGAAGGCATTGGGGCCTCAGCAGTTCTATGAGCTGCGTTCCAAGATCGGCGTCATTGATGTACAGTCCATGAACAAGGCGTAGGAGGAGATTTGTTAGTTATAGCCTTGGTCATAGGATACTTTATTTAGCTTTGCATGTTTCTGTTACTAGCACTGCATGCGCGCGGGCTTTGATCTGTGGTGGCCGCGCGAGTAGGAGGGCATGACGAGAATAGCTCGCGCATGACCCTGACGGAACGGGTCTTTAGTAGCATCGTGGGCATGGGGATGGACTTGCTCACTAGTGCGATGTGTGGCTGATCGCTGTAACTTCCTGCATGTAATCCTGAGAATAAAAGGAGAGAAGCAAAAACCAGAAAAGCTGCTCAGTTGTTCGCAGCACCAAAACCTTGTGTCCAAGCGATAGCGTTGTGTTTTGTGTTGTGTTTGAGTTCATCAGAGAACTCTGGTTCTTGCCTATGGTGTACATCACCTTGGTCGGAACTGACACGTGCTCACCTGCAACACCACGGCCACGCCGGCGGCGCCATTCCGGCTGGTCCTCACCGACGCGCGCGTCGCCAAGTACTACTCATTGCAGCGGTTCATGGCGGACACGCCGGGGGAGCCGGCGGCGAGCGGATGGACGCGGAGGCGCGACTGGAGGGACCCCTACTTCCACTACTCGACGGGGCTACAGGCCGTGGTGACCGCGCTCGGGGTGTGCGACCACGTGTCCATGTTCGGGTTCGGGAAGGCGGTGGGGGTAAAGCACCACTACCACAGCAATCAGAGCAAGGAGACGGTGGTGCATGACTACGAGGCCGAGTACCAGTTCTACGGCGACCTCCAGGCACGGCCAGAAGCGGTGCCGTTCCTCGGCGAGGCGCTGGGTTTCGTGTTGCCGCCGGTGAAGCTCTACCGGTGATGTTTTGGCGAAGGGACGCAGGCGTCACGTTGGGCATGCAGTTTGGTTTGGCCTATGCGACTTGGACACCTGGTGCTCCCTGTCCCTGATGTCTAGCTATCATAACGCTTGGAAGTTAATAATCTCTAGGGCTACTGCTGCCGTCATGAACTCTCATGACTCGTATATGACAAATCTTGATTCTCGAGGGTAGCAAACTACTAGCTTCACCGCATGCCCAACCAACGAAAGCCACATACCTGGTTTAATCTCTTCCTTTGTCATCTTCTTCGTCTTCGGCGAGGCCTTCGGCAAGTTAGGGTTCATCTATGCATCCCCGGCGGGCATAGAAGGAAAGGGAATCTATGGGCAGCGGACCAGTGGTAGTGACGGACGCGGGGCGGCATGGGTGAGGCGGCGGTGCCACTACCTGCCGGATAGTGGGGGAAGGCGGTTGGACAGGAGAAGGGTAGGGCTATCATGGTGACAGCCCAAAGAAGTTGGGTTAGAGTGGCGGTGACGGATCCGGTGGAGGGGAGCCTCCGAAGATGGAGGAGGGCAGGACAGGGGTGTGGACTCCGTAAATGAGCATAAAAATGAGACGCCCATAGTGGGGAAAGTGCTCTCTGGCTCGCTGGGAGTCCCTCAATGACGCCAAAGGTGGAGGGGAGGGGAGAGCTTTGTAAAGCTAGGAGGGAGATTGAGCAACGGGTGATGACAACGGCTACAAATGGGAAGCAGCAAGCGAGGAGGAAGGAGATGTGGGGTTTTGGGACGAGAGAGCTGAGCCGTTGGATCATCAAATCAATGGTAAAAAAATGGAGTGTTGTTGGGCCGTATAACACATGAGTGCTCGCTAAACTTGCCTTCCACATAGACTAAAAAGCCATTTAAAGTCCATTTACATGTCGAGGGCTCTAGACTGTCACTAGTTGGCTTTTCTCCACCCACCAAAATAATGTTTTCTTGCATCGACATGTGTCCATTTGCATGTTTCATGCATTGACAAGTGTCCATCAGCATTTTCTATTTATTGACAAGTGTCCATATTGCTATATTAGTATATAACAAACGGTATCATGTATGCATTCATGCTCTAGAATAGTTGTTATTACTATTAATTAGTATGGATATGTAACTCTAACATGTACATAACCTTAGGGCCTTGGTGAATTAGAACTAATTGTTAGTCCTAGTCAAAATTTAGTCCTCTATGGAATTAAGGAAAAACATAGGATTCAAATTGGGTTCCTGTAGCGGCTTTTGGGTCGCAGGAAGTGATCATAATGTTTTCCTGCATCGACACGTGTCCATTTGCATGTTTCATGCATTGACAAGTGTCCATCATCATTTTCTATGTATTGACAAATGCCCATATTGCTATATTAGTATAGGACAAATGGTATCATGTATGCATTCATGCTCTAGAATAGTTGTTATTACTATTAATTAGTATTGAGGCACATAATGAATATGTAACTCTAACATGTACATCACCTTAGGGCCTTGGTGGATTGGAACTAATTGGTAGTCCTAGTCAAAATTTAGTCCTCTATGGAATGAAGGAAAAACAAAAGATTCAATTTGGGTTCCTGTAGCGGCTTTTGGATAGTAGGAAGTGATCATATGAAATCTATAGGAAACTTTACCTCCCCTTCAATTTTATAGGAAAATTATAGGAAAAAGAATTCATTTTGACTTCCGAAAAAAATTCTGCCCGCGAGGAATTAGGCATACAATGGATTAATGGGAGCTGCTAACGTCTAATCAAGGGAGCAGAATGGAATAAGTAGGTTGATTAAGAAAGAAGCAATATATTTTTGCTCCTAAACTTGCTTTGACATGTCTGTGCTTCTCCTTTACCCATCCGAACGTGAAATTTCTATGTTTTTATTAATTTCTCTATTTTACAATTGCATTCCTATTCTATATTCCTATGTTTTCTTTTCTATTCTATATATTTTTTATCCCGGCCTCCATTCTAAAGGAACCTTCTTTAGTCACATCTACTTTAGGCAACTAAATTTTTGTCATCTCGCTGCTTAGACAAAAATGCCCTTGTTATCTTCAGCCACACCCACAAATCTGGCTCGTGTCCACTGCGCGCAACAAAATCACGCACACGCTAGCCGGCGGCCGACGCAGCACGTGACCGCCCCGGTCCACTCTGTCAGATCCATATCCCTGTCCCGCAAACTCAACCAACAAGTAGTCACACCCACCTAAGGGCCAGTTTGATGCCAAAATTTTTGGCAAAACGGTATTGTAGTGTTTTTGTTGTTATTTGACAATTAGTGTTCAATCATAGTCTAATTAGGTTTAAAAGATTCGTCTCGTGGATTTCGTCTAAACTGTGTAATTAGTTTTATTTTTTATTTATATTTAATACTTTATGCATGCGTCAAAGATTCAATTTGACGAAAAATCTTGAAAATTTTGATATTTTGAGGTGCAACTAAACAAGACCCTAAGTCGACCAACCACCCAAAGTCGACGAAAAGTGAGAACCAGATTATTAGTATTATTTATTCCTACCCGAAATATCCACGTCAGATACGCTCCTTCATCGCTGCTCATTAACTCATATTAACTCATATTAACTTTAGGTTAGTACGTGTTGCTGATGGTAGAGTTAATCGCCACTGCTAGTGCATCAGTCGTGGCAACTGTGTGACTGTTGTCTGCATACACACGGCAAAGTCTGATATAGTCCGTGTGAAAAGTTGAAAACCATCATTGCAAAACGGTAAAGTGCTGTCTGGTAGACGACACATGGCGTTACACGTTCCCGGTTCGGCTCACGTTGTTTCATTCGTGAAAGAAAATATTATACCATAATTGATAAGCAGTAAAATTGAACCGTGCGCTCATTGACAGTGTGACAATGCTACTACTGACTAGTTACTACTCCCTTTGGCCATTTTTAAATGTTGCTACGGTGTTCACGCAACTCAAACTTTCACCGGAACTTTTAGAAAATTTTAGCAATATTTGTACCTCAAAAGGAGTAGCTAGTAAATTTAACAGAGTACATACTGTTGACGCCGAATTGGGTACATTATTTACTGTCAACACATATATAAGCAGAATTAGGACAATGTTTGTGCCAATATATTTCAGGTGCATATATCAGTGGTGGGCCCTGACAAGATGAGGGTGACATGGATCACCAAGGACGACGCGCCGGCGACCGTCGAGTACGGCATGTCGTCGGGCAAGTACCCGTTCGCCGCCACCGGAAGCACGACGACCTACTCCTACCTCCTCTACCACTCCGGCAAGATCCACGACGCCGTCATCGGGCCACTGCGGCCCAACACCACCTACTACTACCGCTGCAGCTCCAGCTCCTCCCGCGAGTTCTCCCTCCGGACGCCGCCGGCCACCCTCCCCATCAACTTCGTCATCGTCGGTAAGTGTCCAAGTCCAAGCTCAGCTGGCCTCGATCATGGCGTGTATCTTGATGGACATGGCAATGGCGTCGCTACGTTATTGCAGGTGACCTTGGGCAGACGGGATGGACAACTTCGACGCTGAAGCACATCGCGGCCACGGACTACGATATGCTCCTCCTCCCCGGCGACCTCTCCTACGCCGACTTCATCCAGGAACGGTGGGACTCGTTCGGCCGGCTCGTGGAGCCGCTGCCGAGCGCGCGGCCGTGGATGGTGACGGAGGGCAACCACGACGTGGAGAAGCTGCCCCTCGTGGCGGAGCCGGCGCCCTTCCGTGCCTACAACGCGCGGTGGCGCATGCCGCACGACGTCGCCTCGCCGGCGCCGCCGTCGGGCGACAACCTCTACTACTCCTTCGACGCGGCGGGCGGCGCGGTGCACGTCCTCATGCTGGGCTCGTACGCCGACCACGCCGCGGGCAGCGCGCAGCACCGGTGGCTCCAGCGCGACCTGGCGGCGGTCGACCGGCGCCGAACGGCGTTCGTGGTGGCGCTGGTGCACGCGCCGTGGTACAGCAGCAACGACGCGCACCGCGGGGACGGGGACGCCATGCGCGACGCCATGGAGCCCCTCCTCCGGCGCGGCGCGGGCGAAGTGGACGCCGTGTTCGCGGGGCACGTGCACGCGTACGAGCGGTTCAGGCGCGTGCGCGCCGGCAAGGAGGATCCCTGCGCGCCCGTGTACGTCACCGTCGGCGACGGCGGCAACCGGGAGGGCCTGGCCGGGAAGTACGTCGACCCGCAGCCGGCGATCTCGGCGTTCCGGGAGGCGAGCTTCGGGCATGGACGGCTTGAGGTGGTGAACGCCACGCATGCGCTCTGGGCGTGGCACCGTAACGACAACGATGACGCGGTGGTCGCCGACCAGGTGTGGATCACTAGCCTCGCGGCCGACCCAGCTTGCAACAGAAACATGAACAGGATGTGACCAGCGCATGAATGCCTTGTGTTAGTGTTGGAATCTTCATCCACCATGACTTGTTTCTTCTCCACAAAGAAAAATTTCATTCATAGATCTGTCGAACTTTAGATTTACCTTGTACGTAGTAGTTTAAAATTGGACAGGCTGCCTCCCTTAGCTCTCAAAACCATAGAAATAGAAATTACCTCGTGTCCATTTTCAGGATTTTAGTTCAAAGAACAAATTCTCCAATAGCATTGTAGGATTTTTAAACCACGAAAAATATCTTGGAGCTTCTAAAATTCCAAAAAAGAATTCTAGAGGCAGAATGGGACAAGAGAAACCAAAATACAATAATCTAGAGCTCTGTTGTAACAAGGCCTCCGACGGCGAGGTGCCGCCAAGGCGCCTCCGACCGTCTCAGGGCGGAGGTATGGCACTGACTAGAGGAACTTTCCTGGCTGTGCTTGCAGGGCGCTACACGAGGCTCAGCGAGCCTGTCGCGGATTTCGGCCGGACCGAGCACGGGCATCTCCGGCTGCTTAGGCGGAGGCCACCCCGCTTCGGCTGACGGGCGTCTCCGGCACTAAAGGCGGAGGCCGCCCCGCCCCTGAACTAATCAAACAAACAACCTTGCCTAAGTGTGTGCAGGTAGCTAAGTGCAGGCACCCGTGGTCCGCGCTAGCGTGCCGGCATGGCCCCCGCACGGCCGGGCGGAGACTTACGCAGGAGGCCTCCAACCGGACCGGCGGAGACTCGTGCAGGCGGCCGCGCGCCCCCGAGGACGGAGGCCAGCATCGGGAACCCAGGCCTCTGGGCCGAAGACTAAGGCACGGTGGGCCGGCCACTAGTGGAGGCCCATTACATGGAGACAGTGTGGCAACCCCGCAAACGAGAGACTGGTGGCAGAATATTCCAGGAATGTACTGTAACAGTTGAGGGGCATTGCAGTAAACTCTGTCAAGAGGTAGTTGAGTCCTATAAATAGGGAGCACTTGTACCAGTAAGTTGGTTGGTGAATGAATTAATGAAATCCTAGTTTCAGCGTGTCATCTCCCTACTCCCACCTATCGCGCCCGTATTTCGTGCCTCCGGCCAGGAGCAGCGCCCCGTGAGCAGAGGCCCCTATCACCACTTCACTGTCTCAGACCCGTAGTTTCAACATTGGCGCCCACCGTGGTTTGGCCAAGACAAACCCACGATGGCAGGGAAAAGAAAAACAACCACAAGAGCTCCAGCGACCACGGGTCAGAGAGGGAGGCCCAGACGCAACACGCGGAGCACCTACGCAACTCCGCAAGCGGAGGATGACACTAGAGCAGACCCCCAGGGTCAACCTCCGAAACATGAAGGCACGGAGGCTCAAGATCCGGAGGCCCAACCACCCCAAGGTGCAACGCCCGAGCAAGAGCTACAGCAACTGCAGGCACAGTTGCAGAGAGCGCGACAAGAAAGGGACAGAATGGCAGCAGCATTCGCAGCCAATCAACAAGCAACCCAAGCATCAGCACAAGCATAAAAAATCAGACAGCAGTTGGCGATCCTACATGCGAAGATGCTGAGTATGCAGCATGCAGTACCAGCGTCAACCACCACAATCCTGGCATCCGCAACAACACCAACTACAACCATACCACAGGGACCTCCGCCAGTGATTAGCCCGCCCACAATGCCATCTCAGGCGATACGGAGGCCTATCGATCCCAAGTCCCCACTCTCAGAAGGTATCCAACAATCGTTGTGGCCAACAGCATACAAGCCAATTGCACTACCAAAGTTCAATGGAAAGGCAGATCCCCATCAGTTCATCATGAGCTATGAGGCCATAGTAGCCTCCGCTGGCGGAGACGACGCCGTCCTAGCAAATTCATTTGTCATTGCAGCTGAGGGCGATGCGTTGGCTTGGTATTCCATGCTCAAGCCAAGCATAATCTATTCCTGGGAAAACCTCCGGGACAAGATACTGGCAAACTTCAAAGGATTCACCGCACAATCGCTAACATCCACAGATTTGTTCCAGTGCAAGCAAATTCAAGGAGAAGCGCTCCATGACTACTTCCAAAAATTCGTGCAGCTAAAGGCGAAGGCACCAGACGTCCCAGACGAAATCGCCATTGAAGCAGCAATCAAAGGCCTCCGAATTGGACCGTTTGCAGCACACCTAGCAAGAAAGAAACCAACCACCATACAGCAGTTGTACTCAGAGTTTGAGAAGTACTGCAGATCAGACAACGATCTCTGGAAAAGGTTGGAGGAGCAGGGACAAAACAAGTAGCAGAACGGCAACAAAAACTCTCAAAAGAGCCATGCAAACCAAAGCGTATCAAATCAGAGGCCAGGCCAAGGGCAACAAGTATTCAATGTTGAGGGCCAATTTTACCCGGAGCAAGGGCAGCTGGCAGCGCCAGCAGCACTGGAGGCCCAAACAAAAAATCAAAGTTGCCAAGGTTACCAGGGCAAAAACTGGAACAAAAATCTCAAGCAGAAACAACGCAAGCCATATTGCGTCTTTCACGGCAAAAGCGCCGGGCACAACAACAAAGATTGTCCGGAGACAAAAGAGACACAGGAAAGGATGAAAAATAAGCAGATTGCCCAACCTCTGCCACAGCAGAGCGCAAGAGAGGTCAACAACACCTACACAACTGGTCACCAGCAGTACTGCCCAGTATACCCAGCGCTAAACTCAAACCAAATACATCCTTCCACCCTATCCTCTGCCTATTACCCAAATTTCTTACCAGCATGGCGGCTAGTGCCCTCGCAGCAGTCTCCGGTAGGTAACTACAGGTTGGAGGCAAGCTTGACTTACATAAACCCAAAACCACCCCACATAACCTACCTCGAAACAAACCCACCACCACAAAACCCAAGCAGGTTCGAGCCTCTACCGCAGCAGCAACACATGCAACAATTGCCTCCGCCGCCACCTCACAATCAACTACCACCACCAAAAAATGAGCCAAACCTAGAAAACCATGTCAATCCTCACAGAGCACTGCCAACAATAGGCTTGATATTACCAATTACCGGAGGTTCATCAATGGAGTTTCAGACGAAGAGGCAGAAAAAAGACCACCTCCGCCTGGTAAACAATGTAGCCGTTCAAGGCCCAGCAAAATATACAGATTGGTCTAGAGTGCCAATCACCTTCACAGAAGATCTCCAGCTAGAAAGCTACCCACATACAGACGCAATGGTGATCAAGACAAACATCACAGCTTCGGACATAAGCAGAGTGTTGATTGACATAGGCAGTTCAGCAGACATCATCTTTGCAAATACCTTCGACCAAATGAAGCTCAGCAGAAACCAACTACAGCCCTCAGAATCCCCTTTGATAGGATTCGGAGGCAAGCAGATACAAGCACTGGGAAAGATATCACTACCAGTATCGTTTGGAACCCAAGCAAATGCAAGAACTGAGTACGTAACCTTCGACGTCGTCGATCTGTACTACCCCTACAACGCCATCCTAGGCAGAGGGTTCACAACAAGATTCAATGCAGCCTTGCATATGGCCTACCTGTGCATGAAAATACCAGCCCTTCATGGTATCATCACTGTCCGAGGCAGCAAAAAATAAGCCAGAAACATAGAAAAAGCAATCTACAGGGCCCAAAGAAACATCAACATAGTTGAATCACCCGATAAAGAATCAGAGCCTCCGGACATGCCCAGAGGAAAAACAGATATGGCAGGACAAGAAGAGACAAAGGTGACCCCTCTAGAAAAGGAATTACTGGACAGAAAAGTAACTATCAGCTCAGAATTGAGTAAAGAAGAGGAAGAACTCATGGAAACCTTGGTGAAAAACAAGGATATCTTCGCTTGGTCAGCCTCCGACCTCCAGGGAGTTAGCAGGGACGTCATCCAACACGAGCTGGACATCAATGAAAACATGAGACCAAGAAAGCAGAAGCAGAGGAAAATGTCAGACGACAGGATCTTGGCAGCAAAGACGGAGGTGCAAAGATTGCTAGACGCAAAAGTCATCAGGGAAGTCAAATATTCAGAATGGCTCGCAAATGTAGTACTGGTACCAAAGAAGAATGGCAAAATGAGAATGTGTATAGATTTTACAGACCTGAATAAGGCCTGCAAAAAAGATCCTTTCCCACTACGAAGGAAAGACGCCTCCATCGATAAGGCAGCTAGGTGCCAGAGGTTTTCTCTCCTTGACTGTTTCTCGGGGTATCACCAAATCTGGATGAAAAAAGAAGACGAAGACAAGTTTCACCACTCTATTCGGCACATATTGTTACACTAGAATGCCGGAGGGACTCAAAAATGTCGGAGCAACCTTCGCCAGAATGACAAAGGAAGTTTTGGGCTCATAGCTAGAAAGAAACATCATAGCCTATGTTGACGACATAGTGGTCATGAGCAAATGCAAGGATGATCACGTCTCCGACCTACAAGAGACCTTCGCCAACCTCAGGACAGCTGGCCTCCGCCTCAACCTAGAAAAATGCATATTTGGAGTCATAAAGGGAAAAATGCTCGAATACATCATCAGCGCCGAAGGCATCAAAGCGAACCCAGACAAAACCAGGGCAATAATGGCAATGGTAGAACCAAAAAACAAGAGAGAAGTGCAGAAGCTGACAGGAAGAATAGCAGCGCTGAACAGATTTATCTCAAAATCAGTAGAACACAGCCTCCCCTTCTTCAAAGCTCTAAGGGGCGGAGACAACTTCGAGTGGGGGGCCGAGCAGTCGGAGGCATTTCATAAGCTGAAAGAGTATCTAGCAAGCTCACTGGTGGTCTCCGTCCCAGAATCGAACAGCCACCTACTGCTATATGTAGCGGCCTCCGACTATGCAGTCAGCGCAGTCTTAGTTCACGAGTTGGAAAAAGAATCAGGCAAACTTCAAAAGCCAGTTTATTTTATCTCGGAAGCACTGTCTGGGGCCAAGCTAAACTATACTGAGGTAGAAAAGGTTGCCTATGCCATACTAACGGCATGAAGAAAACTAAAACACTATTTCCAAGCCCATGAAATCTCAGTACTATCGATGCGGGAC